CTTTTGTCTTTTTATTCATATACTCGTACCCCGGAAGTGTATTTTCGTCACAATGAACTCATTTGCAACACCGGATACAAGTTTATGAATGAACTGGTACGAAAAAGAATCACGGATACGCGTACCTGTCAAGCAGCAAGAACTGCGAAACCGGTCATGCGCTTCCAGGGAAATTTTTGTCCAGTTAATCATATACTACTTATTGTAACATTTTCAATATTCAACGCTTAAGTCGCGTTTGTTGCGGTTAGTCACCGGCCCTGTGGTCCGAGTTTCGAGCCCCGCTGCCGCCACCCAACTTTGTGGTAGGTAGTTCCACTGTCGCCCGGTTCAGTACCACGCATAACCTAGTGAGGCTTTATGTGGTTCGCCACTCCAAGTCCCGGGGCTTGGGTTATCAGTTACCGTCACAGAACAGCAGGTCTTCGTGACTGCAGGGTTCCACCCCGTCACACCGGTGTGTAATAAAAAAATTGTGGTAGCTTCGGGAAAATTATGATGCTCTTTTTGGACCTTCAGCTCATCATCATCATCTATATCGTCACCATCAGTACTGTGCAGCTACCCAGTCCATTATCTCCAGTTAAGGTGTTGTACACTTTATTGATGAGTAGGGGTACTCATACTGAATTTTGTAGGTTGTCCGAACTATGCAGGAGTGCATCAGGTGTTCGACAGAAAGTTGTATTTGTATAGCTTATGTAAGCTTATTGTGATTGGAGCTCAAACCATATCACTGCTCACTCACTCGCATTGGTTGTCACGCGACTGGTCGATCTCGCTATGGATCTAACCAGTATTGACAAGCCTTATAATTATTGATCTGTTTTTCACCCATTGATCCTGTAAATCGTTTTTGCATAATTACAGTCAGCCCGCACTTCAGGTCAGTGGCTTGTGTTCTTCCTAATCAGGCGCGTTTCATTCATAACAATTGTGTTGCTTACATTTCAGTGAACTGCATATATTCGAGGATGGGGAATGTGTACCGGAGTGTGTGAAAACAATGGAATATCGTATTGCCAGCTACTTAGTGAATTTTCACCGATCCCGGGGATCGCGGAAACGTGGTATCTCTCGCGATAGTTTTGAGGACAGAAGGTCATTGCATGCATACGACATTTCCGGGCTGACGTGTATCGTTCAATTATTCGTTATTGTACAGATATTCTCCTATTTAAAAAGCAGCGGGATGGGTGGGAAAATGAATTATGGCTATAGTGTCTCAGTAGTAGAATGAGTACTGGCTTAGTCATATGTGACCAGTATTGGTTTCTGATCACCAAATTTATATTACATCTAGTGGCTCACATTCGTCCAGTGCCAGCACCCGTCCCGTCCTTGTTGTTTTGCTCGTTCCACACTCAGGCGTTGTTAGGATTTGACAGTATTGAACTGAGTTAGAACAGTCGGAGTGTTCCAGTACACATCACGCAATCTTTTCTTGCAGATTTCCGCTCGATCCACCGTCCGCCCCCCCCCCCGCTACAAAACACTCGATTATTCAAGTGTGTTCACCATACTTTCGCGTGATGGCAATGATCTGTTCCAATCTTGACCGAGTACAGGACGTGTCAGCAACACCGGTAAAGCACTCCGATAGAAATAGCCGGTTAAAATAAAAAAACATTCGAATCGTGCAGGCGATCCAAATTTATTATTCAATGATTGTCGAATATAGGCCCGACGCCAATCGCTTTCTCCCCCTTTATTTTTAAATAGACCACAGTGTCATTTGTTCGGGTTTAATCAACGCTCTCATCTTTTTACTTCATGTTTAAAACACTCTAAGGGTGATGGAGAAAACCTTGGAGAAGTTGCCTGCCACTTGTCTGTAAACGCGTGAAATCAAAAATCAGTTGATTGTTTTGTGGCTTACCCCCGAATCACTACTATTCTGTTTTCCCTGTTGTTGTTTTCATTGTTTTGACCAGGTGGAATAGTCTACACGTTCTTGGTCGCCAATAGTGCCGTTCATGTGATCATGTACACGTACTACGGAATGGCTGCCGCCGGACTGTATCGATATTTGTGGTGGAAGAACTATCTGACGATCGCCCAAATGGTTCAATTCGTATTCTTGATCTGTCACCAGAGTCAGATATTCCTCAGCTCCACGCCGTGCAACTATCCGAAAATATTCCCGGCTGCAATCATGTTCTATTCCACCGTGTTCCTTATCCTGTTCGCCAACTTCTACGTCCAAGCTTACTGGCGTAAACAACGCCTGGCCAAGCATCATATCAAATCGACAGCAGAGCAGAAATCTGAAACCAATGGTCACGTGGTTCGAAACGGGACTGTAGCCAATGGTCATGTGGACACAGTCGTCCGGGAACGAAGCAAGCGTGTGTAGCCCAGTTATCTTTCCGTACCTCTCTCTCTGTCGCTCGGTCCATCCCTCCCATACTTCGGCCCGTCGAGGACTGACCTATCAGTTTCCGGTTGACTGGGTTTCCCCCCATTAAGTGTTCTTTAAATGCATCTCCGTCCGACCTGACAACTTTGGTCCGTTATGCCCATAGCTGATCCAAAACTGGACCATACTTACGTCTATTGCCTCACACTCCATCGCCTCCGCACAAGCTATTCGTTGACTGGATCAACGACTAACTTGACTATCAATGCCAGGACGCGGGAAGGACGAGTACTGATGCACAGCTGTGAAAACATCTGCCAATCCCTCATATTCCCCCAAGCAATCCCATCCTCCACCCCACCCCACCCTGACCCTAGTTCACTATTCCGCTATTCAAGAGTTTGTGATTTGATCCGTCCTTGTCTGGTGGCCTCCCGCCCCCC